TTACAGCAAGCCTTGTGTTGTTAACAGAATAATAAGCCTTTGGTGGCTTGGCTTTTAAATGTTTTGAATTCACACCACAAAAGTTTATTAAAGTTTTATGGAGGTTTGAATTCATTTGGAATGGATGTGCACTCTACAGTTTGGGGAGCTGGGCAGGGAAGGGACTATGCAAGAAAATAGGAAGTCCTCTCTGGCCTGGGAGGAATTGTTAGCAACATGGCAGACCAAAACTGGCAGATTTTGCAGAGAATGATGTTTCCAACTTTTAGAAGTATTACTGCTCTCTACTTTAGAGGGAAGATGGTTTCTTATGTGTTCAGCTTCCCTGGTTTTGATTCCTCTCCTAGGTAAAATGTACTACTCTACCTGTGTTTATTTATGAGGGGCACAAAAGCTGGATCTAGATTTCAAATGTTAGCAAAGCTCATGCATACTCAGACCCAGGCTAGGATTCAGATCATCACACAGAAAGCAGGCAGCTGTAAACCAACATTTCTCCAGTACCTGGGGGGGTGTTCAACTTCACAGTTCTTTCTCTGCATCTATAAAGAAACTGTGGAAAAGGATGCAAAATGCAGCCACCCATATGTAACTTTATTGCACAGAGCCTTTTAATAAGGGAGCACTGTATTAACACTAATCAAAACATATCCAGGAGGAGGAGGAGTACTGATATTTCCGATGTCAACTCCAATTAAGGGGAAACAGAAGCCACAGATGAGAAATAAGAAGCATCTGTATGTGCGAGCATATTTAGCTTTGAAGCTGGTGTGGGAATATTGGCGTAAGTCCTTACTTTCCCCAAGTGTTATGTCATCTCGTGTGTAATGTTGACACTTACAAGGATTCCTTATTAAATAATTATTTTACAAACAACAGGGAATAAGTCTGGCCTTTGATATAGACAGGTTACAATCTTGCAAAGATACTATAAGGACCTCCATATTCACTTGAACAGCCTAAGCACATTTAGAGTTGGGCAGGGAAAAAATACAAATATAAAATATATAAAATAAGCCAAAAACACACAGACCAAAACCCATGACATGGCACAGTTTTTCTCCATAAAAATAGAAGTTACCACAGAATAAATGATGCTGCATCCCTCTCAGATTCGGTGAAATCTGAATTTTATGCAAGTCTCAACTATAAACACTTCTTTTATTTTAAAGCCAGGATCCTGTGTAGGACTCACAAATGCCTTATTAACTCGACTGCCTACAAATCATGCAACTGCCTGTAACTCAAGCCATCCATTGTACCCACCACTGCTTTGCCCACAGAACTGTGGTAGTTTAAGACTCTGTTAAATATAAGGCTCCAAACTATTAATATTTGCTCCCGTCCTTAACAGAAAAAATAAATCCCCTGGTCATTTGCTTCCTGATGGCCAGCCCAGCACATTATTGCCAGCTAGCATTAAAGAGAATGCTCTCATCTGTCTAAACCCAAGGTCTGACCTCCACATAGATGCAGGGGGTGCAGCTGCACAGTTATGGCAGTAAAGTGGCAGAGGGATTAAGCAATGGCTTCAGAGGTATGAATTTAAGCCCTGTCCTGGACTTGTGCCAAATGCCACCTTCAGTTGACCCAGCTGTACGTAGGCACCTGGTTATTTGGGTTGTGGGGATCAAAGATAGCTGGCTGTGGTACTAGCCCCAAAATTCCCTTTTGTGCTGTTGGCTGCAGAAGTGGGCTTGAAGTATTCTAGCCCTCTAGGCTGCTACACCCAGCAGGATCTCTACAAATGTTAGGGCACGTGGGTTTGCTAGCCCTGGGGACTAGCAGCATCCTGTAACATTTCACACCCTTGCTGTCAAGCATTCAGCATTCCCTACCACTGGACAGCATCTCTGCCCAGGGTGCCCAAATTGCTAGTTACGTCTCTAGGTGCCAGTGTACAACTAGATGCCTGATACCCCCCAGATTTGCTTGTACTTGCACCTTCTGAGTCAAAGAATTACCCTTGTTGATCAAGTAACCACCAACAGCAAACCTATAGCTTATCGACAGACCTACATCATATTCATCTTCACTCTGTAGTTGCTGGGAGAGGGTATACAGGCTGTATTTTAAGGCTGTGTTTTAAGAGTCTGTGCAATGATTTGTCCCCAAGATTACAATTAGAATTCAATTAGCATGCTGGTCCCTGGAAAAGTACAATAAACAGGAGAACTATAGCACAGTAACACAATAAAGCAGGAGATGCATTTCTCAAAATACGAACATGAACTGCATTACACGTGCCAAATCTTGGCTGACTTTTGTCTGAACAGAGTGCATGGAATCAGTGCTCAGACTTATTTTAGAACTAGCCCCGAGACCTGAAATCAGGATCAGGAGTGGATCTGGTGCCATTTCCGGTTGGTCTCTGCTTCCAGAGAAAGCTTTGTGGAGAGACAAGGACATTAAGCTCTTATAATATTTTGCAGCACATTTGGGAATTGTCTTCTGCCTGCAGTTTTGAGCATGCAGACATAAAGGAACAAATTCATCCCCAGCGTAATTTCTCTCAATTTCAGTGAGGTTACACCAGGGATTAATTTGGCATCAACATTTTACTTTACTGTCCCTTTCACTAAGACATGTTTCCAATCTGTCTCAATCTGAGCATCTGTTATAAATGGATTCAGGGTGAATGACTTCTTTAAAAAAATTGCATAAAAAAGGAAACGGCGTTAATTTAATTTGTTTTCAAAAAATTGCCAGTCCTGTATATGCTTAAAGCAAATGAGGCATTAAAGCTGTGAAAATGCATTGAGGCCCTGCTACAGTACTTCCTTAAGTAGAAGGAGAATAGGAAAGGCCCCTTTCATACTGTCACATTGTCTTTTAAAACTGTTAGGTGTTTGGCTCCAGAGTTCTAGCTATTGGCACAGTATGGGGTTACCAAGGGCACTCAGGGACAAACAATTTAAAACTTTTACATAAATCCAAAACACAAAGACTCTTTTTATCTCAGTGCTGAAAGGAGTAAAATTGTGCCTCTTTCCCACCCGCCTCCCTCCCAAACGCCTGCTGCTGTGGTGCAAGCCAGGTAATCAAAGCACACTGGTATGATGGCAGGGTAGGATCAAATAGACAGATGGATGCTGACAGAAAGAAGAAATCACTGCAGATTTCCCTTCTGAACTTGTGTGGTGCAAGGGGAGGAACTTCTCCCTTAACAACATCATCTTGCTCTTGGAGCAAAAAAGGCCTCTGCTGTTAGTTACACCTGAGACAAATGGCAACTCAGCTTCTCCAGGTTTACACAATCTCCCAGCATTTGGGCCATTGCTAGCCCTGTCCTGGGCTATGTCACCTTACTCGCTTACTGTATTTTAAACAAAGCAAGCTAACAAAATAACCCATTTTCCTTTTAAAAAACAGAGAGAGAGAGAGAGAGAGAATCTAGTAGAAAAGTAAAAGAGAGAAGAGATTTTTCCAAACTCCAGGCTGGTGGGGAAGAATAAAGGCTTAAATGGCTGAAAGTCTGTAGAACGTTTTTATAAAACAGTTATTTTTTCCCCAACAATGCTACTCTGTCCCTGACATGAATCAAAAATGTCACAAGGCAGTTTGGCGAAGCTGGACTTGAATGCTGGGTATTGAGCTGCAGCAGCTGCAGGCAGACTTTGTGGTTAACCCTGTGAGACTTTCACTGCTACAGCTGGCTTCGATTCTGTCACTGCATGCTTGCAGCCTCTCGTTCTGACTGCTTGCTGCTGCTAAATATAATCCTGGCCTTATCTATATACAGTGTCTTCGCTTCCTTCCACCACAACATCACAGGCGTGGTTTAAGGGTATGCTAGAGTGGATACTGAAGTGTGAACTACAAAAATCAAACCTGTGTAAGGCCCTAACCATAACCATTGCAAAAGTGCATTTGCATTTTATGTGTTTTGAAAGCTTACCAGCCAAGTTACCTGAATTCAGCCTTGGTTTTTTTGGCTCTCTCCAGGGAGGGTCAATTCACATCACAATTTTTTCAGTACTGTAAAGAACACCCATTAAGGTCTGGTCTCAACCAACAATATCAGAAATCCACCACCCTTGTCTTATAACTCAGAACATTAAGGTTGACTAACGTCTTGCATTTTACTTCTGTATTGTCCAGTACTCTGCCAGTAGGAGAACAACTAAATTTGTCAGGACACCCAAAACCACAGAGTATGCAAACCTATCAATAGAACTAGGCAAAATATGCAAAGATATGTTTAACAAAAAACAATGTGAATGGTTTTGCTTTTCCAACCATTCCGAGACATTTTCAAGTTTTCGAAATGTTTGGCCAAAGCCCAAATTATTTTCAGTTTTTAATACTTCAAGTCCCTTTTTTTTCTTTTTGTTCCTGCTCTTCCACCCTCCCCCTATAGGAAACTCAGGGACACAGAGAAAAAGAGAGAGAAACATACATTCAGAAAATGACGACACCAGTCATTTTGCATGAAAAGATCATTTTTTAAAAACGAAAGACGTTTCAGATGAAAAACTCTAGGCATCACCTCTATCATGACATATGAATTCTGAGCACAGGCCATGTCTAAAGCAAAAAACGTATTGGTAAATAGATTCAAAATTGCTTTAGTGACATGGGCCCAGACTGCTAATGTAGACACAATTACAGTGTTTTAAATCATGTTCAAAGTGATTTAGCTTAACACAGTAAGATGCAGGCATCCATGTGAGGCCTTTGCACCAGAGCAATTAGATTGATTTTTAATTAGACTAGCTATACAGGTATTGGCCGCTGCCAGAGGCAGGATGACAAACTAGAGGAACCCCTAGAAACATGGTTAAAAATACTCTAAGCAGAACCAGTGTTCAGGACAGATAAATACACCTAAAACCTAAACTGAAATACTTTTATTTTAATTGTATATATAAAAGTATTCACATATTGGGTGAAATTGTACTTGGTTGCATCACCATATCGCTACAGTAGTACCTCAGCACATCAGGATTTCTTTAGTTCCCTATCAGTGATTTAAGGGCCAAGAGCTGATCATTCCCTACCTGAGCTATTCCTTGGTAATTATTCAAGAGTCCCGATCCAGTCTTCTTTTGGAGATAGGTTTGGGCTTCTATGAAAGCAGAAGACAGTCAACCCTCAAAAGCAACATAAAAAAAAAATAAAAACAATGGATCTCCAGAAGTCTTTTGCCCCTGCAAAGGTGCTCACACTCACCTTACCTCCCCTATGGGCTCTTGGCTAGCACAGGAGCTCTGCTGAGAGTAGCTCCCTTAAAGCCTCATTCCCTTCATGCACCACTCTCTATACCTCCCCTTCCTAGGACAGTCAACCCCATTGAAAATACTATCTTTCCAGCATGTACACAATGGCTATCTGTTATAAATATCCTCTTGAAGATTCACATCTGGATGAAACTAAGGGCAGTTTGGGCACACCTCTTAGACAATGAGGTATTTGAGATCTGTGTTAACAGCACAGAGAGGTAGTTAGCTGTGTTAGTCTCAAGTCAGACACAAGGTAGGGCAGAGGTAGCACCTTAGGTCATTTTACATCTGCTCCAGGACACGGCGCTGGGCACTTTAATTAGCGAGCTGCGCTAATTAAGAGTGCCCGTACGTCACGTGCATTGGTGTCCCTGCAGTGAAAGCTCATCGAATGTGTTTTATTTCAAAGCACCCTGCCATCATTTTTTCAGCGCAGGGACGCTGATACACATGACGCGGAAAGCTGCCGGAGCGTGTCAATTTTCGTGCTCCAACAGACTCACTGGATTCCAGCACTTCGGAGCAGGCTCCCCACACGTCTGTAGGAGCATAACAAACACCCCCATTTAGTGGTATTTTTAAAATACAGAGGCATGCAAAAAAAAACCCTATTAAGTGCCAATACACTTCAGTTGGTTGGAAGAAGGAACACTGTGTGTGGGTTGGCCTGACAGACAGGAATGCAATAGAGGGCAGGATGAACATCTCCCCTCAGCCACCCACCCACCCCCTTACCAATCCTCTGCTCTACCTGACAGTGATTTAGCCTGGAGCATACCTAAGGGCTACAGCACACACTGCCCAAGAGAAGCAAAGCAACGTGAACGGCATTATTGCATCATTAGGACACAATTGGTACTAATCTCCCCAAATTCAGCTGGAGAATGTAAGCGGCTGGAAAAGAGGCTGCCTTTGAAAAAGAGAAATCAGGGTTGGATTTAGACCACCTGTCATCCTTCCCCCCCTACCTCCCTCCACAGTGAGAAGTGGGGGAGGGCACGGGTAGTAGAAGCGCCTTTCCTGCTTCTAATGCCAGCCTCCGAATGACAGCAGCAGGCCTGTTTTAATGAGCCCTGGCAAAGAGTGCCAATTCTTGTTCACACGCAAGACAGAAAAAAAAGAGAGAGAGAAAGAGAGAGAAGGAGAGAGGGAAATAATGAAAGCAAAAGGAACGCTGGGTGGTGAGCGAAGGTGGAACGTGGGGCTATTGAAAAGGGTGCAGCTTTATCCCGAACAGGCAAAACAAACACAAAGTGCCTGCCAGGTGAGGCATCAGGGAGCTGGGTCTCCAGCCAGGACTCAGTCAACACCACTAGAAAACACAGAGGAGGGGGGTGTTTCTTTAGGACTAGCGTTGATAGCAAAGGGATCAGGTGGAATCAAAAGGACAACTTGCTTTATTGAAGGGCTTTAAAGTTGAGAAGAAAGCTTACCAACCTGCTGAGGGAAGCAATAGAGGGTTTGGCACCCTTATTCACAGAACCCTTCCCCAACCTGCACCTCACCTCCTCATCATACATGCACAAAATGAGCCCAGGCCATCAGGCCATGTTCCAGACCAGGCCTGTATCAGCCAAGGGAAAGCTTGGAGCAGAACGCGCAGGGAATACCAAGCAATGACACAAAGACCCAGAAAATAGTGGCTTGGGATGCCCCCCACACACACCCTCCCTTCCTAATGGTGGCCTGGCAAATGTCATTTCACAGTTTATAAACACTTCCAGAGATGAAGTTTTGTGCAGCACTAGGTGGCATATTTCAGATAAGGGAGATCCTGACTATTCGTGGTCTTAAAACTTCCCATGGCATTTTTCAAAAAAGAGCAAGGGTGTTAACTCTGTAAACCTGGCCAACTTCCAGTTAAAGTAGCTGCATTTTGCCAGCATGAATTCCCCCAGCCATTTCCATCAAATACATTATTCTCCTTTGCTTTCTCTCCAACACTGATGCATAGTGTTTCTGTGCACTGTGTACCATCTAACATGAAACCCCCCAAGGGGGTGGATACATGCATGTTTGTAGGTGCAAAACGTCAGAGAAGCAAAAATCCACACCTCATTCCAAGTGAGTGAGGGGAAACAACATTTATAGTCATAAGAATAGCTTGTGGATACTTATGAATATATTATTAATCATTAAGCACAGCAGGGATATCAATGTCATCAGCAGAGCAATGAAAGGGCTTCCTGCTGAGAATGAAAGAGTGAACATGTGACAATTAAGTGGTCCCGCTTGGTCCAGTTGTCAGCACTGACAGGCTCCCTCAGCCTCAATTCTCTGTGAGCTGTTGAAAAATGTTATTTAAAAAGAATGCCTCCTTAACTGTTTTCCTGTTTCCGTAAGATGAGTTCCTGAAGCCAGAACTGCCTAGTTGTTACACATGTGCAGAGCCTAGCACATGTGTAACATTTTTTTGACTAACATAAGAGTGAAAGTAAAGTTGTAGTATTATCATTCAATAAAGCTGAGAAAAATCCTTGCAGCCTTAAAAGGATCACTTGTTTTGGTTAGCATCACTTTAGACGTAGAAAAGTTTGCTAGAAAAACTATACCAAGTAAACCCTCCTTGTGTGGATACAGCTTACACCAGTCAATGTTTGCTGAGTAAAATATTTGTACCAGCAAAGGGACTTTTGAAAAAGAAAAAAAAAAAAAAGCTGCATGTAACAGTATTGCTTTTGCTAGAATGGAAATGCCGCTGTAAGAAAAAAAAATCATATCCCTAACCAAAATTATAATTCTCTCCTTTATGTCCAATTTTGCAAACATTTACAACTTTTAAACACCCCTTAAAGTCAGTGGGATGACTTATAATAGTTCAGTTCAGTAAGGACTTCTGCACTGGAGGCTTTAAATGTACAGTATTTATGGATGACAGCAAAAACATCTGTAGCAACTTTGGAAAAAAGACACTTTATTTCACCCCTAACATAGCTGCACTTCAGTGATGGATGAAATTACCTCAATAGATATACATACACACATATGCTAATAATGCATTTCAGGGTCTTGTTCTTTTCAATGAAACTTCAGCAGTTCAGATTTTTGTATTTTACGTTTGATCATTTTTTCCCTTTACACCCCCACCCCCTTTTATTTATTTACTTACTATTTTGGTATACATTTGACATTTAAGCATTTGCATGAAAGCTTCTGAGCACCCATTTGAAATGTTATTTCAGTGAAGAACCATTTTTGCTATCACATACAATGTTTTGAAATCTTACACGTGTTACTGAAAAAAGTACTGTTTCCTAAAGACAAGGTCTGGGGCTGTACCTAGCATTAAACCAGATATTTTTCATGCAATTTCAATGAAAAAAAGATTAGCACTTCTCACCCAGTTCTGATTAATGACTCAAGGCCTAATCCTGGGAGGTAATGAGCTCAGGCAATCATTACTGTAAAAAAAATCAGAGTTGTAGGGGTCAGGACGAATAAGATCAGTTTTGACGCTGTGTGTGATTCTGACAATGAATCTAGTTTCAGCAATTTGGCTCTATGGAAGCGCAGAAGCAGAGCCAATTGGAAGCCCATGATTATAGTCACATTTGTTTGCAAAACAGGCGAATTTGAGCATGGGTCTTGGCACATGGAAAATTCTTACAGTTTGCCTCTAAATATGTTATGTGTAAGGAGGAAACTGTGATGTTGGGTGTAGTTGTGAGTTCTCTGGGGCAGGACCATGTTTTTCTTCTATGCGTAGACATCATCTATAACAGTGAGGCCCAGTTCCCTGACTAGGGCTCTTAGGTAGTACCACATTACAAATTATAAAAGGGAGGAAATCATAGACCTATTGAAGTGACTGACCAAACTGCCATTGTCTTAATAAGGTCAAGATTCCACCCCAAGTATTTCCCAAAGTCCTATTAAATTATTTCTATTTTATTTATGAAGCTTTTTGAATTTTACAGACAGCATTTGCTTATACTGCCAGCTGACCAGGAAACAACTTTTTAAAAGATTAGGTTTCATCCCCTTCTTTGTTACAGAGAAATTAATCCTGAAATATATATTTTTAAGGGAACAGGGACCAAAAAAGCAATGTGGTTTTGCTTACTTTTTACCTTAGCTTGGTCAAGTTTAGTCTTCCTTAGGATTTTATTTTTCTGAGCCCCTGAATGATAGATTCTCACCCTTCCAGGTTAAATCCTTGGCTTCCTTGTCTGAAACTGTTCTTGTTTGGAGGGTTGGGATTAAAAAAAGGAGAATTTTATGGAGTAACAGGTTCTCACAGATGGGATTATGATAATTAAGGCCCTGCTCCTGCAGGTACTTCTTTGCTTCATGTCCTTGTGGCAAGGAATGTAGCAGAATTCACATATTAATTGGAATCTGACAGGGCTACATCCCAAGCACTTCTGCTATGGCTTCACATTTGCAACCTCTGGGCTGCCAACTGTGCACCTTAGCTCCTGCACCATCCCAGTTCCCTGCAGGTACTTAGGGTTAAAGTAGTTTTACATACCTTAGCAGTTCTGCAATGTAACTTAGGGTATAATAGGATCCAGGCCTTAATAAATCGATGTTTGTATAGTGCTTTTAAAAGATAAAGTGCAATCCTGCAACTGATTCTCCAAATATAGGTGACTTCCATGAACTTCCAAGCTACAGAGATTTGCTTACACAGCAGGATCTGGCAGGTATATGCCTCTTTTGGGGCTATATTCTGCCCATAGAGCAGGGTTGCTTTGCATTTTACAAACAGCATGATCTGGTGGTAAAACTGCTTCAGATGGGCAGAAGAAAATAATCCCTGCCCTCCCATCATGATCCATCCACTGCTGCTTCTCGTTCTACCATTACTGGTGGCTATGAAACACTTGTCCTAGGAAACATTTTTTTTCATAGCCTCAGAGATCACAAAGGCCCAATGCTGCCAGTGGGCCTGTGCTCTCTGAGGCTATGAAACACTTGTCCTAGGAAACATTTTTTTTCATAGCCTCAGAGATCACAAAGGCCCAATGCTGCCAGTGGGCCTGTGCTCTCTGAGGCTATGAAACACTTGTCCTAGGAAACATTTTTTTTCATAGCCTCAGAGATCACAAAGGCCCAATGCTGCCAGTGGGCCTGTGCTCTCTGAGGCTATGAAACACTTGTCCTAGGAAACATTTTTTTTCATAGCCTCAGAGATCACAAAGGCCCAATGCTGCCAGTGGGCCTGTGCTCTCTGAGGCTATGAAACACTTGTCCTAGGAAACATTTTTTTTCATAGCCTCAGAGATCACAAAGGCCCAATGCTGCCAGTGGGCCTGTGCTCTCTGAGGCTATGAAACACTTGTCCCAGGAAACATTTTTTTTGCTTAATGCATTTTTAGCCCAATGGCATAAAAGCAGCTTTGAGGCTGTCCTAACACAGTTCTCAGGTTGTGCTATGAACAAATTAGCACCAGGAAAGTGTAAAGGAGAGCTTTATGCCTCCTTTCTATAGACCCACCCCTGAGCCACATGCTGTTCAGTCAAAGTCCAAGAGCTGTCTCTGCACTTTGAAAACATAGTGCAAACATTTCAGTAATATACACTTCACAACACCTTGGCAATACAGGGTGACATTCAGAGTTCCCTCTAAGGTGCACACGTGCATGGCCGTACACAGGTAAAAGTTTGGCTGCACACAAACTTTTTCAGGCCCTGCACTTGCCAGGAATGGAGCTGGGCTGCAGCGTGGGACACTTAGTAAAGGTAAGCTCCTCCCCCAGGTGGAGGCAGGGGCTGGCATAGGCTCTACTGGCTCTGGGGAACTGCTCCACTCCCCCGCATCGCCTAGGGGAGCAAGGACACACGTGGAGTCAGGGTCGGGGAGTGTAGCATTTTCCAGAGCCGGCAGAGCCTGCGGAGCAGTTTCCCGGAGCTGGAGGAGCCTCACTCAGGGCAGGCACTGGCTCCTCCCCGAAGTGAGGCAAAGCAGGGATGGAGGCTGGGGCGGGGGTCCCACACTCAGGAGGTGCCTTATGATACCACCCCCAAGCCTTATGGGCTAGATGCGTGACTCCAAACCACCCCTTTATCATGCCCCATACCTTGCAGATAATATGTAGACACTGTCTTCTCGTGTTGAGGCCTCAGTTTAGTTCGGCCTTGGTTACTACACCCTCTGGCACTGGGCTCTCTGCAGCCCCTGTCACTGCGCCCCAATGAGGCCTCCTCCTCCCCCCCAGTAGCCTCAGTCGGGTCCACTGGTTTAAATAACAAAAAGCACAAGCCCCTGGGCTACAACACAACAATAACATAGGGTCCACACCCTACCCCTTTTAAGAAGGCAAGCTTCTCTCTCAATTGAATGGGCCTCCTCCCCAACAGCACTTATGAGCTCCTATAGCCCCTTAATCCTGCCAGCTTCAAAACAGGCAGTTAAGCATCTCCAAGTAGCTTCCTTCATGAGATCTCCTTGCCCCTTGGCTGCTACCAGAGAACTAACCCTCTAGTTCCAGCCCTGGGGTTTATATGTGCCCAGGGCCCTGCCTTCTTCCGGTCAGCTGACCGGGTGCAGGTTCCCTTGTTAGCCTGCTGCCACAGTAACCTGCACCTGTGGGGTTTCTGCCTGGCTGCTGGGGCCCTCTCCCTAGGCAGTTTCTGCCCTTTGAGGAGCAGGCACATTAGTACCCTGCAACACTCACCAAGGAAGGAAATCAGTGAGAGAGATGGACAAAAAAACTCAGACCTCCTACCTTCTTACGCTATAATTAACCACAATACCACATTCTACCCTTTCCACATGATAAAATAGCATCCATAGACCCCAGCCACAGTTGGGACTCCATTGAGCACAGTATAAGCACATACAAAGCACAGTATAAGCACATACAAAGACATGATCTTAGTCTCAAAAAGTTTTCATACTTGTGATAAAAAACATTGACCACGGGACTTTCATTCCTATCCTTGTGTGCTGCTTGTACTGCAGCATGTGACAGCTGCCAAGAATGGAAGACAAGCATCTACAATGATATGTTGAGAACAATATAGAGCCTTTTCTTCTGGTATTGTTGATGCCATCACCTGCATCATGGAAGACAGTAGCATGTAAATGCAGGTCAGTTAAGGAGGAATTGACTCTCAGGCATTTTATTTTCAGGTGTACACTTGTAAATGCAATGTTTATACATACAGTATTGCTTCTCCAGGGCTGCCCCATGCATTTAGTACAGTAGGAGTTTATCTATTTTTACTGTTGGACTGAGATGCTGCTGAAATAGGACCTGTGACATTTTATTATTACTTACATATACCTGATAATATATACTTATAGGTATATACCTGTAGTTGTACCTGAAGGTATTCATCGGAATTCAAACCCTATTTTACTCGCTCTTATACAAATGCAGTTGAAGACAAGACCTGATCTGAAGACCTTCCACCTAAGCAGACAACAAGGAATATGAGATGGAAGAAAAAAGGTAAGCAAAGTGATCCAGCTGATGTATGGTATTGTGACAGTGGTAGCGTTTTTGTAGAGCTCACATTCCAATTAAGGGAAGGAATCGCTGCTTCTGGTGGGGGGGAGGATGGAGTGGTCTCAGTTTCTGTCAGTAGAGGGGGGTAGCATCAGGGACTCTCCATATGGCCATCCTGTCACTTCTCCCTTCTTGTTAGTCTCAGAGGATTTTGATTCACTTCAGGCAACGTGTTTCCTTCACCATTTCCATTTATCTGCCCTGCAGTTCCAGGCTCCCATCTCTCCTCCCATTTTGCTGGGCCTGAATTTAGACAGCAAGGGGAACGTGCATTATTTTCTTCTGAAGTATATTGCAAGACCCTTTTCTGTCCCTTTCACCACCCACTGCAATATTTATTCCAGAGTCTTAGCAGCAGAAGTGCATCCCCCCTGAACCACTGCGACCAGCTGAGTCGCGCAGCACATTCCACAGTTCATTGTCCCACTGTCGTTGTCCTGGTTTTATTTCTGCAGCATGATCACAACAGCACTTTTCATCCTCTAAATGTCCCACACGAATGGGAGCACAAGTCAAACAAAAGCTACAACTGCTCTGTTTACTATAGAGAAAGACTGCTGGACTCCAATGAAAGGACAGGAAGCTGCTGTTTTCACTGTAACTTGTTGGTAAAACAGTGAATAGTCCAGTCATAGCTCACAAAGGCTTTCTTTTTTTTTTTTTACATGGAAGAGCCTTATGTAGAGGGGAGTTGAGTAGTTATCAACAACCCATGAAATGGGGGCATCAGCAAGTTTATCTCTTTTGATTGTTCTTTGAGGGACAGTTAAAATGAAACCCATCAGGCGTATCCCCACAAGGAGGAACATGCGTTTCCCTGGGGACAAACAGCAGCAGTACAATATGTGCCGCTGCTACTTGTCCCCAGGGAACGCCCATGCACACGTGCTCTGGTGCGTGGCACATTGCT